ATACGACACTATACAACGTTATACAAGACTATATGACAATATGCAAGACTATACAACACTGTAGACGACTATTATACAAGACTATACAAGACTATAAAATAAGACTATACAACGTTATACAAGACTATACGACACTATACAACACTATACGTCATTTCGATGTTTTCCTTCGTCGTTGAGTTAATAGTGATATACCCTGTGCGTGTGACCAGAGCCTTAATGTCAAGTCTTCAATCATTTTCACGTTTTTCTTCGTAAATCATAACAACATTTGCCAACATTGAACATGCCTGCATCATTCGTCATGATATTTAAACGGTCAATATAAACTTATTACTAATACAGTAAGTAAACATTGGCAACACCGTGATTAATAATTGGCTAAAACGTACCTGCAAAAAAAATTTTCTAACGAAATTATTGTCATTTATTTGTGAAGAAATTATCGTTTTTTATATTTTTCATCATGGCGGAAAGTAAAGAGCGAGAGCTTTACGGCGACTTACGAGCAATTACCGACTGACAGAAATCCAAATTTCTTCTATATTTTGATTCAAGCTGCGTCGTTATAACTCGGTCAAGGAAACTGGCACGAGTCATGACGTCAAAATCAGTTGTCAAGAATAGTGTGCTGCCTACGGCAGCAAAAAACGATATTGCATTCACTTTCTCATTTGACATACGATACGGCTTCCACTAAAATGGCACGCTCTTGATTTTGAAAAATTTAAATACATGCTCATTTAGACGTATTCCAAATCCCAATTTATCTGACTGCATTTTAATAGCTTCAAATATTCAGAACATTGTTCTTTCAATCACAAGTAGTACAAGTATTATTGCATTGAATGGTAGTATTTTATTCGACTTTTAATTTGTATGTGTATTGATTAACTCGTAATGTATTATCTGCAGCCTATATTTAATATATTGTGCGGCTTGCTAATGCTTCGTAACATTGTAATATACATTTCTTTATCCTGATGATGATTGAAATATAGTCGAAACGTTGATAAATATAAAAATGTTATCGATCTTTGGAGTTTACACACTTGTTTTTGATACATTTCGTCGTTGTACATTTCACGCCCTGCGTCAATTTGAGAGTTGTCAGTCTTTGTTTATTATAAGGGATGAATCTATAAAACGCATGGATTCAGTGCAGGCTCACCTTTCTACGAGTGAGCGTGCTAGCAGGCTAAAGTTTAGGCAATTTTATGCAGGAAATTAGGCGGGAATTTCCAGTTTCGGTCGTTTCCGATTTCGGTCGTTTCCGGATTCGGTCGTTTCGGTATCTGTTCTTTACAGAGACCCCTATTTAATTCCTCTTTGTCAAAGTATTTATTTCCTATTTTTACTATTATTTTTTTTCGAGGTTTTTCCTATTTAAATAGGGTTATATTTCTAAACAAATACTTAAAGGACATTGGCACCCAAAATTTTTATTACTTATATCTATTAGGTATACTTGCGGAATATTTAATTTCATATTTTGGCTGGTTTGTCGCGTTTAGTTGTTGAAAAAATTTGATAAAAAGTTAACAGTTGTCCGCCATTTTGAAAATAAGCGCGTATGCTAATGTATGCCACAAAATACATTATCAGACGTCATTGGCTGGGTAAACACAATTTCATACAAATAAATGTAATTTGTCCTTGTGATTTCTGTGGTTATATACCTGTTAACAATTTAACAAGAGAAGTTCGGTATACAAGTGGTGCCGTGACCAGGATTGAACAAAAAATCGAACGGTAATTTAAATATTTAACGAGTGATTTAACGACAACAACACATTATTTGGTCATGTAAATACGAGAATTTATCGATTTATACGACGTGGAATATATATCAATGAGCGAGAAGACAGCAGAAAAACAGAAGGAGGTTGAAATAGACAAGGAAATCGAAAAACTAAAGTACTATCTCGAGCCAATTGACGATATTATTGAAGAAGGCGATTACGCAGAGATCGAAGTTGTAAAGAAACGAACAGACGCCATATTTGACAAGGTAAATAATCTTGTTGCAAGTGTACAAGAGCTTAAAATTGATCGAGGAGCTGAAACTCAGAGAGCAATACGACCATGGAAAAAGGACACGAAGGATAAGTACGCGCAATGGGTGCCTAAAATGAACAAGCTTTCGCAAATTCTTGAAAAAAGGCAGAGGGAAATTCACGACGAAGCAGAGCGACGTCAACAAAATGCGCAACGCAAGAAGGATGAACAACGTTTGATCGAATTACGAGAGCGAGAAAAGTTGATGTGGGAGGAAAAGTTCGCCGCTTAGCTGCAAATGACGGAAAGAAAAATTGAAATGGAGAAATCTGCGAAAAGCAGTATAGCGAAACTTCCTCAACTGAAAATCACTGCATTTAAAGGAACTGCCGCAGATTGGGTTCGTTTTGAGAATATGTTTCTCACACAAGTCGATAAAAGACCCATCTCAGATGAAGAAAAGTTTGGATATCTCCTTGAATCAGTTGTGCCAAAGGTAAGAGATCGCATATCAAATCTCAAACCAAGTACTTTGGGATATAAAATGACATGGGATCGACTTAAGCAAGAATATGGCCAAACCAAATCGGTAATTAATGCCCATTTGGACGAAATAATCAATCTAGCTGCGGTGAAAGGGTCAAGCTATGAAAAGGTTCAGGAGTTTTATGAAAAACTTGGACGCAATAACTATGACGCCTTGCAGACTTTGGGACAGGGAGATATCATAGATATCTTATATACATATATAGATAGCGCATCTCTTTTACTGCAGTAAAATTGAAGCCAAGAATATTCCAACGGTTACCCCCATTTGAATAGATGGCGGCCATGTTGGTCGTTCCCACTTGCTAATAAACGTTTAAAAACAACAATAGTGTCATCGTTTGAATAGTTTGAAAATGTATTTAGAATAGGTTTAACTTAATGTTTAAGTTCCTTGTTTACGATATGGAAAACATACGAATCTTGTCGTTTCATGGGAACGACCTGAGACTGCATTCACGGCTTCAATTTTTGAATTGCAGAATAATTAGATGCACTATCTAGTGTGTATAAGATATCTATGGGAGATATGTTGCAAGGTTTTGTTATGACCACCCTAAATAAGTTGCCCCATGTCAAACCTGACGTCGTGAGAGTGGATGAAAAGTGGGAAGATTGGAATATGGAAGATCTTATTAAAAACCTACAAGCTTGGTTGGGGAGAAATAAGGTAGATGTGAGTTCAAAACCCCCAAGCGATAGACGTAGGGATAGAAATTGGTTCACTCGCAAGAATGAAGGAAAACAAAACCCACATTGCATGTTTTGCCAAGAAGAGCATTGGAGTGATGAGTGTAAGACACATTCGACAATGGAACAAAGTTTAATTGTGGGCGAGCAGGGCACCGGGGAAACCAATGTCGTAGTCGTGCATGTTTTAAATGTGGATCGAAACACCATACTAGCTTGTGTGACAAGACGAAACCAGATAAACCAGCTATAGAACCTGTGTTACATGGTTACAGTGCATTTGTAGAAGAAAAGTCCCTTCCAGTCATAGTTCCTGTCAAAATAGGCGAAGAAACATTGTGGGCGTTTCTTGACACAGGATCTGGAAGGAATTTCATATCTCGGGATGCAGCAAAGAAACTGAAGTTAACTCCAGTTCACCATGAGTCTAGAGAAATTGTAACATTGAATGGTATCAGTAAGCAATCTATGCCAATATACCTAGTTAGTATTAATTCCCTGGATGGAACTGTGCAAGAAAAGATTCAAGTAACCAGTTCCAAGATGCGCGACTTCATAACAGTACGAAGACCCGACATTAGCCAGTTGAAACAGAAATTTTGTCATGCAAAGGATAAGATGTTCACATGGTGCGTTCAGGCAACTATCCAATACACCTCATCTTGGGAGATAAAACTTACAGCAGAATCAGAACAGAACAAGTGCTCAAGGGAAACGAAGGAGATCCAGTAGTCGAAGAAACCACTTTCGGTTGGCTTATCCATGGGAGAGATGATTACAGTAGCGACCAGTGCATGTTTGTTCGGGAGACCAATGTGTGTGAGCAGCTTTACAGTTTGGATGTACTCGGTGTTGAGGACCGCAGCGAGAAAGACCAGATGGAGGTGCTGACTGACTTTCGAGAAAGTGTAACAAGGCAAGAGGACGGCCGGTATGAAGTAAGTATACCATGAATTCCTGGAGCCAGATTGTACGGTACTAACGTACAGCCGAGTAGAATACGCCTAGCCAATGTCAACAAGAAGTTGAGTAAAGATCGATTATTAAAAGTAGAGTATGAAAAGATAGTTAAAGATCAGCTTGCCAATGGCATCGTTGAAGAAGCCCCAGAAAAGCCAGCAGGAAAACGTACATATTACATGCCTCACGAGCCTGTGATCTGGGAAAACGCAACAACAACAAAGATCAGAATGCTTTTTTTATTCTAACGCTAAACCAGCCCCATTGGCTAACAGTATTAACGAATGTATGTTCACTGGACCGTCCTTGCAACCACCACTTTGGGACATCTTTATCAGAGCGCGTATGACACCAGAACTACTTCTGGCAGATATCCAGAAAGCCTTTTTGCAAATTGGAATTAAGGAAACGAGATGCTTTTCGATTCATGTTCAAAATCGATGGAAAAGAGGAACATTTCCGGTTTGCAAGATTACCATTCGGCGTCGAAGCCAGTCCCTTTCTGCTTGGAGAAACGTTGGGATACCACCTTGAGCAACAGCCGACAGGATTTGAGGAAACTGTGACAGCTCTTAAAGAGAATACATATGTTGATAACATCATGAAAACTGGAAGTGATACTGACGACTTGAGGAAATTTAAAGAAGAAAGCTCCATCATTCTTGAGGATGCCAAATTCCCAATCCACAAGTTGGAATCAAACATCGCGTGCCTCGAAGACGAAAACATGCCAAACCCAAGTAAAATATTCGGACACGTCTGGGATAAACAAGAAGATACATTAGAATTCGAAGCAGCAACCATGCTTGAGAACCAACCAGTGACAAAGAGGAGCATTTTGAGTGGGTTAGGAAGAGTCTACCATCCTTTGGGAATGGTATCGCCTACCATGGCTGAGGGTAAGCACATATTTCGAGATGCCTGTGAAGAAAGAAAAGGTTCGAATGCTGAAGTGTCAGAATCCTTGAAAAGGAAGTGGATGAAGTGGAACAATCAAATGAAGAATGTTAAAGTTCCTAGAGCTATAACTAAGAAATCGGACGTGATTGAAGGCATTCAACTCCATTTGTTTGCAGATGCTAGTAACCTTGCTTGCTGTGCAGCAACAGTCGCAGTGCTAGAGCACAAATCAGGAACTGTGAAAGGTCCGTTAACGTCCAAATCCCGAATTTCCAAAAAGAACACCACAATACCGAGGTTGGAACTTGTGAGTGGTCAATGGCGGCGAACATGGCAAGGAATTTATACCATGCGCTACTGCGATTGCCTGTTAAGTCTATCATCATCTGGATGGACAGTATGGTCGCGCTTTACTGGTTAAGAGAGGCTGTCTGTAAATATCACCTATGTCGTGCAGAACGTGAAAAATCAAAATCGCTCAAACTTTGTCAAAATGTAAGTTAGTTCGACCTGATAATATAAAAATGTGTTTAACTTTGATTCGAAAAATATTTTTAACGAGAAGTCGATATTTGTGTTCTCACGGCTGACGGCCCTATTTTTAGGGCGATACAAACTACTTCAGATTGAGTTTGTTTACGCTGGTAAGTCAAAAGTACTGCACATTTAAACTTATTTTTCATAAAATACAAACACTAACGTACAAGTAGCAGCTCTCAAAGTCGAATTTGATATAGATTTGAATATTTTATCGATTTTTCAACTTGTCGCTTGCTTTACGCAACTTTAGACTATGTCCGATTAAAATCCATATATCGCCACTGATACCTCGAATTAGAACATGAACATTATACCAACGTTTTTAGCAAGGACTGATCTTTCGATAAGTGAAATAAAATTTTTGGGCCATACAAAATTTCAAGAGTTTGAGCGAGTAATGTAAGGGTCAAATTGCCCCAAAACGGCTGTTTACGCAAAGCGGCAAAAGGAATGAATTGCCTTGAAAAATAGCCGATTATAATTTAAATATAATCCTGTTAGCTAAATAGATAGCAAAGCAATGTGAACTACTGTACATTAACTGAAGTTTGTGTCGTTCTTCAGCTTTTTAAGCGTTAATCGTAATATTATTGAAGTCAAACGGCTGCCGTACACTAATGACTTGTGTAATAATGTCTACCTTTCTATGGCGAAATCTTCTTTTAGCGCTCTCCGTGGAACCCAATGAACTTTGAAAATGTTCTTATGACTTACAGTCGATTTTACATAACTTTTGTCAAATGTTCCGAACTTCGTTCTGATCACGAAGCTCATAAATTCGACTTAATTCGTTGCGAAGTTCAAAAGTTCGTAATAACATTCACAAGCCAGTTTGTAAACAAAGCCTCTGATTGGCTTCTTTTAATGTAGTAGATTTATCTAGTTATCTATTGTGTTACACAATAATTAATAAATAAAAGGTCAATAAGAGGAATTTTCAAGAAAGTGGAGTTAATATTCTGTAAAAAAATATGCGAGATACTGTCCAATATATTAGCTAAGGGAAAGTACATTTATTATGCCGAGGGGAGGGGGGATGAAGATGTTGAGGGGGG